AGTTACTTATTGCAACTGAAGAATATTCATTCAGTTGAATATATTTATTGCGTACTGGAATGAGAATCAGTGTTCAAGAAGTATCCGTGACAGAGGTCCTTCAACAGACGCTTTTAGAAACTCACAGGGTAGAAAATTATTCAAAATATAGTATTTCTTCATTAACGATGTGAACTAATTATGTTTTGAATGTATTTATGGAACTGATAAGAAAGTTTCTCTCAATCCTAAACACTTTGAAAACACGTTAATGATAACATATCAGTGTTTGTGTAATATATCGCAATCCGCTGGGGTCTTAATAAACATATCAGCGAATGAATTGACAAATCATTCATCACACAACTTTTTTTTTAGTTTTGGGGTCAAGGGGCCAGTTAGTAAAACAAGCCATTTAAATCAACTATTCAGATATTTAAAATTTTCCAGTTCGCACCGTTGAAGGACACAAAAGGAAGGATGATTTTCGGATATATTTTTGACCCTCCCGTAGTGTCGTTGCAGGGCAGATTACATCAAGGATTATTCTCTGGCTCAGCGCGTGATGCCTGAGCGGTTCATGAAACTTGCGGGTGTTACTAATTTCATAGCTTTCAACATCGCAGGAGGATTGGCCCCCTCCTTCCTGGTGGGTGATATCATGCTCTGAAGGGATCATTTGAATGTGATATTTCTTGCGGGAAAAAATTCCCTCGTAGGACCGAACGACACGATTCAGGCCAAGGTTTTTCCGATGACCAATACTCATTATCTCATTGATGCAGTGGGGATGTCCACTGTGGCATAGATTGCTTTGCATTCAGCCTCATTTGTTCCACAGAATACGATTTTGAAATAATGGGGTATTGAAAGAGGTGACGTCGAAAAGAAAAAATTTTTGCGGAGAATGTTGTTCAATTCATTGGTCAACTGCTAAGGGTTTTAGTTGACAGCAATGTCACATTTGATCTCAGTAACAGTTGAGAAGCTGAAGGACCTTGTTCCTTATTTATATGGCGACCGAATCATCAAATATTCATTTTTGCCTTTGAGTACCCTTTGGTAATCAAATAAAGGCACAAATGGAACAACATATTTCACCTTGATTGAATTATAAAAATACAAGAGAGAGTAAATACGAAACAGATATTCTTCAATTAACTTGATGGAAGGAACTTTTTTAGGTGAACTGTGGAAGGGTGAGAGTCTGGTTTAAATTGGTTTTGTCTGAGTATTTAGGTATGCTCGGTGAGGTTAAATTAATCTTAAGTTAAGTTGTTGCCTCCGGTGCTATACAGGGTGTAACTGAATAAGTGTAAAACATTTAAGGAGGTGATTCCTCATCGAAAAAAAGATAGAATCTTTCATATAAAGAAACTTCATTGGAGCATCCCTTGTTAAGATACAGCCCCTCAAAGGCGGTACATAAAGTTCGTATAACATTTTTTTTCACAAAAACTGAAGAAGTTACAATATTGAAATCAACCTGACGTTTTTTACTACCAAAAAGACACTCAGCCAGTGATTTATTTGGTTTACCCTATGGTTGTAAGGGGTGGAAAACGCAACCCCTGAAATTTATTTCCAATGTAACTTTTTGTCTTATTATTTGTTTACCATTTAAAAATTTACTTCCGATAGCCTGTTTCATTCTAAACAAAAAATGTCTCATGGGTTTTTTACCCAAAATTAACCATTTCGCAGCAAAAAATTATTTTACGAACAACTACAGAGATACATCGTCATAAATGCGAACTGGATTTATTGTTATTTTGTAGTTAATACCTGCATTAAACGATTAAACACAAGCAATTTTATATGCGGTTTATCGATATTCTTCGATCCAGTCATAAATAATATAGATAATTCACGAATTTTGCAATCATTTGCTTCCGTGGGCCGAAGAGTGCAATATCTTTAGGTTGAGAATTTTCTAATGTGTTAATTATAAAAAAATCATGACATGTCCTTTTGGATTTTTTGAAATGTATTTTCTGCTTTCAGGCACGATGCCCTTTGCACCGCGAGGCCGTGGGCGGTAGCCCACACCGCCCACACCTTACGCCGCCTCTGTGCAGATGACATAGTTATCTTGGAAACCTGCAAATTTGTGACCACACTGTGCGATAGAGCGCAGGATGGGCTCAAATTAACAGGAACATGGTGTAAGAAACACTAACTGTCGATTAATACCAAGGAGACTGAGATCGTCCTTTTCACCAGAAAAAGAAGTTTATTGGGCTTAAAACCTCCCGAAATCTTCAAAAGTAAACTAAACTTCTCTGACGAGGTGAAATAACATGGTAATATCCTCGACGAAAAGCCAACATGGAACTCTTACCTATAGACTAGAGCAAAAAGAGCATATGTGGTTTATGAGCAATGTCGGAGGCGAGTGGGATGCATATGAGGTCTTTCATCCCGTGTGGTCACCTGGATCTACACTGTAATAATAATACCTATGTTAACGTATGGCAGCAATGCAATATTTGGTCTCAGTAACAATTGAGAAGCTGAAGGACTTTGTTCCTTATTTATATGACGACCGAATCACCACAGCCCGTGTGGTCATCTGGATCTACACTGTAATAATAAGACCTATGTTAACGTATGGCATTGCATGGGGACCGGAAGTTCTACAAGCAACGGCCATCCAAAAATTATATCAAATAGAGCGATTGGATTTTTTAAACATTACAGGAGCCATGAGAACAACACCAACCGCGACAATGGAATTGATTACTAGTCTGGCCCCTCTGGACCTGTACGTTAAGGAAGTTTTGTTAATGGCCATGTTACGATTGCGCACTGCTGGTGTAAACCTCGAAGTAGGAATGGGTCAATTAAGGCTAAGTCTATCGCGAGAAGCATTTACTGTGTAACCTCTGCTGCAGGCAGACAGTGATGCAATTAAGCCCTACAAAATACAAATAAAACAGAACACAGAGTCAGATGCTACAGATGCAATACGTATATATACAGACGGCTCAAAAACCAAAGAAGGTTCAGAATGTGGAGTTTACTCCAGATCACTAAGATAATAGCTTTATCTATATCTTTATCACTAACCGATACTAGGGCATCATCAGCGAAATTATGTTCATATTCACATTCATTACATTTGCTGATATCATTATTGTAAATTAAGAATAGTAATGGCCCCACAATACTTCCCTGCGGAACCTTATGGTCTATACTTATTGCTGTCGATACAAATTCATTGATTTTGGTTAACTGTGAGGTAATCACTGATCCAATCAAGTACTTTTAATGACATATTTTTTTAATTTTTTAATTAGTATTTCACGATTAACCGTTTCAAACGCACGTTTAAGATCTAAAAATACTGCTACAGTGTACAAGCCCTTACTCATTTTATCTTTCCATTCAGTAACTGTAAGCTGAAGTGCGGATTCCCATGAATGTCTGGCTCTAAAACCAGATTGGTTTGTGAATAGCATGTTTTTTTTTTATTGAAATATTCCAACAGTTGTTGATATACTACTGATTCTAACAGTTTTTCAGCGCAAGGTAAAGTGTTAATCGGCCGATATTCATCACATTTTTTTGTGTTTGGAACTTTTTCGATAGGCGTAACTGTACTTGTTTTTAGATCATCTGGAAAACTACCATTTTGTAACGAGGTGTTGACAATATGACACCACACACGTCCAATTACTTCAAAACTACTCTTTATAATTTTGCTCCATAATGCATCTACTTGTGATCCTTTGTTTGCTAAATTGGATACAATTACTTTTACAATCCGCACTGAAAGTAGACAAGCCCTATTAGCCTTGAACACACAATGTGCAACCTCAGGGCTAGTACTAGAGTGCCAACAAGATTTAGCCAAAGCCTCCGTAGATAATAACATTATCCTGAGATGGGTTAAAGGGAACGACTCTTCAGCCAAGGAAGCTGCTGGACTAAGAATTCTAGAACCCTGGGCGACCCTGGAAGCTGGCACCGACCAGGAAAAACCTACGCTTAACAGTAGGATTTCTGACGCCACTAACAACTAAGGAAACACCTCCGTATTATGGCAGGAGTGGAGACACCTCAATGCAGGATGTGTGAACAGGAAGATGAAACTGTCGCGAGGACAACTCTTTGGAAGGATTTACAATGGGTCACTTACAATGGAATGATTGTGTGGCTTTTGATGAATATTACGTTGATGAATTAAGCCAATCTTGAATAAAAAAAACGCATTTTCCTTCTTAGGCCCGGGACTTTCCAACCCGGCTGTTATAGGTATTGCCCATTTATTCAAGCTCTTTTCTTTCGTCTTTATTCCGTGGCGGAAGTTCCATAAATCGTATAAGTAGGGTATGTTTCCGAAAGCATTGGTATTTGATTTAAAATCCCGTTACTCTCACACTTATGCAATGTAAAGATATTCGCTGCTCAACCTATGGTTGAGGACGATTTTCAACTTGAGATACATTGATCATATGGTCTCTTCAAGATTGTGATTTTCATCGGCTGTTTTGGGTAAAACATAGAATAATAAAACTCATATATCATTTTTTACACCTTTGACTTCTTCCTCAGATTGTGCCAAAATTACAATAACGTTATATATAATATCCGGAGATAAGCTTGAGTTCAGTATAATTCTTAAAAACTTTCCTGGTTTTTGAAATTCAATACATTTTGTGTAATGTTTCACTATCATTTATCACAATGAAACAAATTGCGGCTCATTGTTGAACTCATTTCGTAGTTGGAATTCAGTGCCTTTGAATATGAACCAATATTTTCAAATCCGTTCCAACTGAATCTATCCTTATTTTATAAACACAAAGAATGTATCTGTACAATATGTAGACAACACGTTAAAAAGCTTCTTCCACTCTCGCTAAGATGTCTCTGCAACATTCATATCCTCGTATTGTTAAGAAAAACCCCGAGGGACGCCTGTAACCTAGGCAACACAGGGGTTCAGACGCGCCGAATCATCGGTAAAATACGACTCCAACAATCTAAACATCACTACCACCGCACTGATCCGTAACCTAACAGCAGACAGTCGGCCAACCTGCCTCCAAAGCGATGTGATGGCCTTTGGGAATGCAGCGACGGTCAGTCTGGTCTATGACTTAAAATTCAAGCCCTCCGCCCACCTGCTTCTAGTCAGCTGATTCGTGTAATCATCGTAGTGCCAGGTGCGATTACGTTTTGTTATTGTTGACAACAGGCGGTTGTGACTAGTTTCAATGTGAAGATGAGTGACGAAGTGACTTCTCCCGGCTTTTTCGGACGTTCGGGTATTCTAGAGACTCATGTACGGGGGCAGTGGTACAGAGTTTTTGTTACTCTAGAAGACGATTATCTAAGCATAACATTAGACGAGTCGTATGAAAATACCACTACATTGAACGGTACTTTAAATAATAATATCGAAACTCCTAGCGGTCTAAGTGATACTCCGGATGTGCCGGATTCGGTGGCTAACCAAAAACGTTTAGTGCGTGTTATAAAATCCGAAAATAATGGACTGGGAATTTCGATTAAAGGTGGCAAAGAAAATAAAATGCCTATACTCATTAGTAAAATTTTTAAAGGGATGGCCGCTGACCAGACGGAACAACTTTACGTGGGTGACGCGATTTTGTCTGTCAATGGAGATGACTTGAGAGAAGCTACGCACGACGAAGCTGTCAAAGCATTGAAGAGGGCGGGAAAAGTCGTTGAGTTAGAAGGTGAGGTATTGATAGATGTAAACACGTGGTCATGACATTTTGATGGAAGTAAATTGGTGTTTGAATTCAGTGGCTGAGGAATATGTTTTTCTTCTAATGAGATTGTCGTAAATATACCTACTTGGATTTATTCTCGGAATGAATTGAACATGAGAATAGTATTTTCAAAACCATAATAAAAATTTTAGATCAACATGTGAACTATCGCAACCCTTTGAGGCAGCAATTATTTTTTTGAAAAATAATTCAACAATTGAAGGGATCATGGTTAATCTTATATCTGCCAATTTAATTCTAAAACAAAGATAAAAATAAAAACAACATTAAAAATTAAACGACGCTCCAAGATCTTGATCTGCCAATGTCCTCTCTTTCACAAAATAAAAAGTAGGGTGGGTGTCTCCAGAGGCTCCAATAAATTCAAGACATCGCCAGAACACTTAGTGACACGACTATCGTCAAACTTAAACCAGTCCGTTTCGTCTTTGATCAAGGCGTAATAATGACCAGATTCCACGCCAGAACCACAGTGAATAATGACTGCATGAATATTATGATAGTGGTCTGCTAGATTGAAGTGTATATCTATTTCGAACCTTCGTGAGAGTTTGGTGCTTCCGTCAGATATTGAGTCATGTTTGAAGATCGTCAGTGTTATTATTAGATTGACTGGTGCCTCAGATATACTTGTTTTCTTATAACATTCAGTCAGTTTGGCGCATGCTTGGCAATACAGTCAATCATCACCTGTTAAAAATTCCATTTTCAGATGATTTAACAATTAGCTTTGCACGGACTGGTTATTAGTCATATTAGGAAACGCTAGTTGAAGTTCCAGAAATTTACATACGTTTTTGCTACCTCTTGAACATTCACTACAAAGTAAACTAGTGAAGATTTTTCCAGCAGAAGATTTACAAACATAAGACGAAATAGACTGTACGGAATCATTCAATCCAAAGCGATCGGGAGTATTGATTCTGCTATTGTTTTTCTCACGAAGAGTATTCAACAAGAACCTGAAGAATTCAGAGCAGTCCTTTTGTCCTTACGAGTATCTAGTGGACTTAAAAACTCCAGGAAATCGGTTGGTGGGAAAGATGATACATTCTTACGACACTGCAGCTGCATTAACAAGTGTTTGAGTTTGGTGAATAAGTAGGAAACATTCTCGTTCTCGTTCACCATTAAAACCTCATTCTTGAAATCCTTCGTCATGAACAACACTTGTGAAATGATATTCATGTAGCAGGTGTTTCCTAAATTATCTAATCCAATTTCCTTTCAATGATTTTCAGGACAACTCTCTACTGATTCGTAAGGAAGAACATGTTTCACTGAATCTGCATAAGAACCATTTCTCAAGCTGCAATCGATCCTTCCAAGTGAAGAAGGGTTTCGCAGAGGGATCGATTCGGCTCTTGCTTCATGAAGCTCTTCCACTGAAAGATCCATAAAGCAGTTTGTATCGGAGAGACATAATGCGACGCCAGATCTGAAACAAATCAGTGTTTTCATGGAAAATTTTACTAAATATCATATTTGTCACCTAATACAATGCCATCTGGACTTATGAGGCTCCAACTTAGTGCTACACAAGGCGCGTCTTCCTGGCTATCCATGGATTGGCATTTGAGAGCACCTAATTTCATGCGGCACCGTACATTTGAAATGATTTGATGTTGATGCTGTGGTCGATGGACTTACTCTTTTGTTGGAATTTGGTTCAGCGCCTACCAATTCGAGTGCAACAGAAATACGAAATAATTTTAGGGAAAATTGGCCCTGAGAATCTACCCTTTCTTTTTATGAAATGAAGGAATTCACAAGCGACACATCGATAAAATAAAATACGTCATGTGATCATTATAGTCTTTCACTAGCACAGGACAATTAACCTCTTGAACGGAACCATCTTTATTCTTACGCCGAATAGAATCAGTTTTGGTAGGATCCAAATAGTTACTCAAAAAGTGGACTGGTCTGTTATCCATCCAGTTTAGAAAAGTCAGTTCATCCATGCTAATCCGGTAATCCCAATCGACCCTCTTCAAGCGTTTATCGTCATTTGGCAAATCTTTCCTACCTTTTCTCGCCGTACCACAAGCATACTTAAATCATCTCTGCTTGTAAACGTAGATATGATATCCTTTTCCAACCAACTCTCTTGTCAGGTCATGAACAACTCTTCTACCTAGTTTTTTTTCTGTTGTTTGTCCTACTATATACTGACGTAAATCTGAAATATATCTTATTTTTCCGCCCTGATCCAAACTTTGTAACTACGTTTTATCGGTTTATTTGGCATATATAGTTTCAGCAGGCTTCGACCCTTGAATCTGATCATTGACTCGTCGATAGCCTGGCTTTTGCTGGGTTTCAGGGCATGCTTGTATGTTTCGGATAATATATCTGAAACGGACGTATTTTATAAAACTTGTCAAAATTGGCTGTATGTCTGCCTGGCTGTACTGAGTTATCATTGAGATGTATGTTCTATCAAGAACGATATAACGATAGCACTAACTTCTCAGGGCAGTGCAATTAGTCTTGCTGAATGACAATAGCGATGGTATTCGGTAAATTCGTCTTGGACTTGATACCAATGAGTCAACAGGATGCGATGCGAGTTTTTTTAACTTTTTTTCTGGTCAACCTGACCAAGCACGTAGAAAAATACTTTTTGAAAAATTATATACCTATTATGCTCCATCCTGAGATTCTCATAATGAGTGGAGTCTATCGTAGTTGAAGATAACGATGTAATTTTGTATTCTAAACTGTTTTTGCGATAAAGCATCGCTATTAAATTGATCAGCTACCACTCATAATGTAATGATCTATTAGTCAGAAACACAACATTTCTGAATATATTTGTATTGATATCTGAGAAATTATCAAAGATGATGAAATATATATTCAAGGTACTTATATCCTCTTATGGTTTATTTTATTGATTCTAGAGATTATTTTTAGGATAATTTTTAATTGATAAAAGGTGTACGTTCAAATTATGTTTACATACTGTCATTCAAAGAGGTCACTTTAGAAGATGCTCGAAATGATTGTCCTGAACTTCTTCACATATGAACAGCCTATCCGATATTTCATGCCAAATATTTTTGAACACATTAACTTCAATATCTCTACAAATATTCATTATTATCTGCCGTATATCCAATATTGAAGCAGGTTCAGTTTCATACACCTTACGCTTTGAATAGCCACTTAATAAAAGTCCAAAGATGTCAAATCTGGCAAGCGAACCGGCCATTCTGTAGGACCTCAACGGCCAATCCAACTACCGGGAAAAGTAGTATTCAAATAGTTTCTTATTTGTCTGGAGTAATGTGGTGGTGCGCCTTTTGTTGGAAAACAATATCCATATCCAATTCATTAGGATTCGCTTCGACGATTTCAGTGATGAGAGGGTCAATAGTAGTTTCTAGCATATTCGAATACAATTCCTCTGTTGAATTTTGATCAATAAATAGAGGTCCCACAATATGATTTCCCAATATTCCTGCCCAAACGTTAATTTTTTCGGGATATTGGTTATGTGTTTCCTGGAAAACGTGAGGGTTGGTGTCACTCAAATAATGGCATTTTTGGCTGTGAACATTGCCGTTTAAAGAAAATATACATTCGTTACTAAAACCAATATTGTGTTATGTACACTACCGGTAGTTGTGAATTTGGATACAAGTTCTCTCAAATATTTTCTACTGTTAGGACGATTCGGAAAAAGTTCATTGAAAATCCTTTCGGTCTCGTGAAAGTTACGTGTCGTACCGTAAATAAAAATCGCTTCAATTTTTTTTTCTAATGGACGAGAATTGACCATTTTATAGATTATTGACGTGGTACCTTTCTACTACTAAAACCGAAAGCTAAATGAGAGTATTGTAACTGAACAATGATGTTCATTGTCCTACTGACATTTTTTATCGTTTTTATGAACAAGAAATAACTTAACAAACCTCATCAGGTTGTTGAAATTGTCATATGACAGATAAAAAGAAATATTTCTAGAAATATCGTTTGTCTTCAGGAAATTATTAAATGATCCGCCATTTTGTAGTAGGTGAAGATATTGACTCCATATTCTAGGGTTGTGAAGTATCCGTCAGGAGCTTCAAAAAGATATGTCACAAGAATCCCTTTCTATTTAATTTTTTCCCCAGATGGCGCCCAGACGCCATCTTGAGAGTTGAATCTGTCAATTTCCCTCCTTAATAAAGTATCTATGCATTAATTTCATTATACCAAATTTCAATTTTTTGAGTTGATCCGTTCAAAAAATAAAAGGGAAAGACATCAAAGAAATGAAGAAATGCACTGTATAATGGATACTTCCACTGCAGTGGATCACAGAAGACGAATAATGTCTGAACAATCGAAGTCAATCTCGAATAAATTCAATATAACATTGAACAAAAAGCCTGCGCAGTTGCAAAATATGTCCTAGCAGAAACATACCATGTAATAAAATAAGAAAAAAACTGCTATACTTTCTGAGTCAACGACTTATCAACGCATGATTTTATAGGGAAGCCATTGGGATCTACTCGTCTAAGCATCTCAACAATTTCAACAAAAAAGAAAAAGGTGTACGAGTCTACAGAAAGTGGTATCCAGTACTAGAATACAACTCCTATCAACATTTCGGTAGCAACGTACTTGTCGACAACATGAACCACTCAGAAAAAAGTTTGCGAAACCTAATCATAACTTCAGCCGTAGAAGCCTATGCTATGAGTTTCAGGTTGATATACAGTGTGGATATACTCTCGAACGAAACAAGCTATCGAGGTCGGATAAAAGATCACGTGGCCTAGTATCAAGAAGGTTTTAAAGGTCTTCCGATTCTCTATCCTACACCGCTAGGTTTGTGAAAATCGGCCAAGCCGTTTCAAACTGAGAAGCATTTGAAATTTGTTTCAATAAATAACTTTCAATTGCAACAAAATTTCAAATAACATTTTTAACAAGTGCTCGAAATGTTCACCGTTCACTTTTTGACAGAAAAAAAGTCGGTTTTGGAAGTCTTTCGAACGTTACTAAATGTTTTCCTCAAAGTGCAAAAACAATTGGCCAAAAAACACAAATTATGTCACACCCAGATTATGGTCGTTCATACCAGAAGACCTAAAAATATTTTGAACTTTCATTATCATAAAAGTGAGCTTAAGTTATGAATGATGGAAAATG